TCAATGAAATCGAAACAAAAGAAACAACTGAAAAAATTGACAAAACTAAAAGTTGGTTCTTTGAAAAAAATAAATAAGATTGACAGACCCTTAGCCATGCTAACGAAGAGAAGAGAACCAAAATTACTAGCATACGTGATGAAAAAGGCAATATCACAACAGACACTACAGAAACACAGAAGATAATTAGAAATTATTTTGAAACCTTATACTCTAATAAAATAGAAGATGTCACTAAGTCATATGATCTGCCCAGATTGAGTCAGGAAGATATATACAACTTAAACAGACCAATATCAAGTGAGGAAATAGAAGAAGCCATCAAAAGATTACCAACCAAGAAAAGCCCAGGACCAGATGGATATAAAGCCAAGTTTTACAAAACCTTTAAAGAAGAACTAATTCCAATACTCTACAATCTATTTCAGGAAATAGAAAAAGAGGGAGTACTTCCAAATTCATTCTACGGGGCCAATATCACCCTGATTCCAAAACCGACAAAGACACCTCAAAGAAAGAAAACTTCAGACCAATATCTCTAATGAATATAGATGCAAAAATCCTCAATAAAATTCTGGCAAATCGGATACAAAAACATATCAAAAAGATTGTGCCCTATGATCAAGTGGATTCATTCCAGCCATTAACATTATAAATGCTATCTACGCTAAACCTCAGGCCAGGATCATTCTAAACGGAGAAAAACTGAAGGCATTCCTTCTAAAATCTGGAACAAGACAGGGATGCCCTCTCTCACCACTTCTATTCAACATAGTTCTTGAAATACTGGCCAGAGCAATTAGACAGATGAAAGAAATTAAAGGAATATCTATAGGAAAAGAAGAACTTTAAACTAGCACTATTTGCTGATGATACGATTCTATACCTAGAAGACCCAAAAAACTCTACCAAGAAACTTTACTAGAACTAGTAAATGACTTCAGCAAAGTGGCAGAATATAAAATCAACATCCATAAATCAAAGGCATTTCTGTGTATCAGTAACCAATCCTGTAAAAAGGAAATGAGGAAAACTATCCCATTCACAATATCCTCAAAAAGAATAAAATACTTGGGAATCAACTAACAAAAGAGGTGAAAGATCTTTACAATGAAAACTATAGAACCCTAAAGAGAGAAATAGAAGAAGACCTTAGAAGATGGAAAGATCTACCTTGCTCATGGATAGGCAGAATTAATATTATTAAAATGACCATACTACCAAAAGCACTATACAGGTTTAACGCAATTCCAATCAAAATCCCAATGGCATTCCTCATAGAAATAGAAAAAGCAATCATGAAATTCATCTGGAAAAATAAGAGACCCAGAATAGCTAAAGCAATTCTAAGCTGGAAGAGTGAAAGAGGTGATATTGTTATACCAGATCTTAAACTACACTACAGAGCAAGAGTAACAAAAACAGCATGGTACTGGCATCAAAACAGGCTGGCGGACCAATGGTACAGGATAGAGGACACAGAGACTAACCCACAAAACTACAACTACCTTATATTAGACAAAGGTGCCAAAAGCATGCACTGGAGAAAGGATAGCATCTTCAACAAATGGTGTTGGGAAAACTGGAAATCCATATGCAACAAAATGAAATTGAATCCCTCTCTCTCACCATGCACAAAAGTTAAATCAAAATGGATCAAGGATCTAGGAATTAAACCAGAGACTCTGCGTCTAACAGAAGAAAAAGTAGGCCCTAATCTAAATCACGTGGGGCTAGGCCCCAATTTCCTTAATAAGACACTGATAGCACAAGAATTAAAACCAAGAATCAACAAATGTGATGAATTCAAAGTAAAAAGTGTTTTATCAGCAAGAGAAATAATATGTGAGGTGAATAGGGAGCTTACATCCTGGGAACAAATTTTTACCCCTCACACAACAGATAGCGCTCTAATCTCTAGGGTATACAAAGAACTTCAAAGGTTAAACACCAAAAAATCAAATAACCCAATCAACAAATGGGCCAAGGACCTGAACAGACACTTCTCAGAAGAGGATATACAATCAATCAACAAATATACAAAAAAATGCCCATCATCTCTAGCAATCAGAAAAATGCAAATTAAAACTACTCTAAGGGCTGGGGATGTGGCTCAAGCGGTAGCGCGCTTGCCTGGCATGCATGCGGCTCGGGTTCGATCCTCAGCACCACATACAAACAAAGATGTTGTGTCTGCCGAAAACTAAAAAATAAATATTAAAAAAAAAAAAAAACTACTCTAAGATACCATCTCACTCCAGTAAGAGTGGCAGCCATTATGAAGACAAACAACAAGTGCTGGCGAGGATGCAGGAAAAAGGTACACTCATATGCTGCTGGTGGGACTGCAAATTGGTGCAGTATGGAAATTCCTTGGAAAATTGGGAATGGAACCACCATTTAACCCAGCTATTCCTCTTCTCGGACTATACCCAAAGGACCTAAAAACAGCATATTACAGGGACACAGCCACATCAATGTTTATAGTAGCACAATTCACAATAGCTAAACTGTGGAGCCAACCTAGATGTCCTTCAGTGGATGAATGGGTTTAAAAAATGTGGCATTTATACACAATAAAATATTACTCAGCAATAAAAAAGAATAAGATCATGGCATTTTCAGGGAAATGGATGGCATTAGAGAAGATTATGCTAAATGAAGTTAGCCAATCCCAAAAAACCAAATGCCGAATGTCTTCTCTGATATAAGGGAGGTGACTCAAAATGGGGTTGGGAGGGAGAGCAAAGGAGGAAGATTACCTCTAGATAGGGAATAGGGGTGGGAGGGAAATGGAGGGAGAAGGGGAATAGCATGGATGGTGAAAGGAGACCCTCATCATTATACAAAATACATGTATAAAGATGTGAATTTGATGTTAACATACCTATATATAATCAGAGATATGATAAATTATGGTATAATGTTGTATTAAGAATTGTAATGCAAAAATAAATAAATAAATTTTTTAAAATGCGAAAAAAATAATAATAATCTTTCTCACACAGGTACAGTGGCACATGCCTATAATCCCAGGAGCTCCGGAGAGAATAGCAAGTTCAAAGCCAGCCTCAGCAACTTATCAAGGCCCTAAGCAACTCAGTAAGACCCTGTCTCTAAATAAATGATTAAAAAGGGGACTGGGGGTGTTGCTCAGTGGTTAAGCACCCCTGGGTTCTTAAGTACCAAAAATATAAGTAAGTAAATAAATAATCTTTCTCTCATTAAGAATAATCTTTCTCTCTTATAAGTAAGTAAATAAATAAATAATCTTTCTCTCATTAAGAAAGTCTACTCACTATAAAAAAAAATTCACTTTGTTATGCCAGGTTATCAAAATTTATCTATTCTTGCTCCCCTTGGTTAATCCTTATCTTTTAAAGAGATTTGACTATTTAGTTTAGCTCATAAGTGGTAATGAAAGTTTCATTATTCATTCAATATGAGCCAATTAATTTTAATATTTTAGAAATAAGTTCTTCAATACCTTTTTTTTCATTTGGCATGCTGGAATTGAATACATTGTGTTGCACATGCTAGGCAAGTGTTCTACTACTGAGCTACACCCTCAGCCCTTTCAATATTATTGATAGGATTATATAGATTTAATCATTATTCAAGTAGGATGATAATAACGAGCTTTCTGTTGCTCTAAAAGTCAAATGCTATGCACTACACACTCTTTAATGTTGTATCATGGTATTAAAATGTGCCCTTAGCTAACATTTTTAAAAGATTTCAATTTATGTTTGGGGCATGGAGAGTCATTAAAAATTTAATGATTTGCAACAACTGCTAATAGAGCGAATTTCAAGTTATTTCGTGTATAAATATGAAACAACAAATCTCCTACTGTGTATAATTATAATGCACCAATGAAAAAGGGAAAAAGTTATTTACATTACAAGTGTGGCACGACATATCCTATAAATGATATCTATCCCAATATTGTGGTAAAAAAAAATCTCAGACTCTGCTTGTTGCTAATACTTGCCACATTCTAAAATAAACTTGTTTTTCATAAGCCCCATCCCTGGAGATTTAAAAAAAAATATATCAATACAATGGTCCTTTGCCCTCTGCCACCAAATCTTTCCCCTCACTGCTCTTTTTATCAATAAAACACATGTAATACATTCAAAATCAGGCAAAGCAAAAAAGCAAGGAAATGCAGGCTTTTATCCAGGAGGTTCAGTAAGGTCCTGGCTATGAACATTCACACGCACCTCTGAAATCCATGGTTTTGTGATCTAGAAAGCTTACATTTGCTTCTTGGTGGTCAAAGTCAAATCAGAGGCCTAAACTACTAAGAGTTCTCCAGACTCCTTAATTTTCCTATTTATGTCTTTTGGAAAGTTGGACATATTGGACAACAAATAACAAAACAGGAGAATTGTGTAAAGGAAGTCAAGAAAGGCTTTACTAAGCCATAAGCATCTACCATAGAGGTGTCCACTAATTTTTCTCCCTTATGGTCTCAAACATATTAAGATTCATCTAATACAGATTATGAACCTTCACATTCTTCTCACTGCCTTTAAATTGTAATGAATTTGTTGAATTCTAGAATAGAGGTAAGATCTGCACCAAAAAACTAGATGATGGTGCTTTATCCTTCCTGCTGCTGGAGTGAAATACAATATCAGCCCAATTCTAGTCCAAGCAAGTTAGGAATGGGAGTGAATCCAGATGGCAAACTACCTGATGGTCTCCTTATGTGGGCCTGAAATACCAGTTATGTGCCAGGCTCTTAACCCTGAGGCAGAACTGAAATAAAGGAAGGGAGGAAAGCAGGCTTTATCAACATGAAACTTTCAGAAAGCTTTATTATTCAATGGCACACTAATAATGACACAGCTAATGAGCATGCAAAAATGAAAATCTAAATAAACGAAAGTGTGCTGGCTATGATTTGGGTACAACTAGGCAACTTCAGTAAAGAACAAGGAAAGAACTCAATAGTTTAATGCACTACAGACAAAAAAGCTTTAAAAAGTTACCGCTGACGATCTGACTTGTACGTGGCTGTCAGCTCATCAAACATGGTGCTGTTCATTTCCATAAATGCCTTCAACACATTGTACACTAACGCCACAATAGCCCTATGAAGCAGAGAAAAGGGAACACATTGGTTAGTCTTATATAATGGGATGCTGAATGAAGAAAACGAAAGCACAACTTTTGTCTGAATGAGCTCAACTGCAAACTGTTTTCATCCCTGTATAGTTGGAACAACTAGAAGTGACCTATAGTTCACTTCCACATAAAGGGATTTAAATTCTTTACTGTTCAAGGCAAGATCTTTCTGAGGGGGATGGAAAAAGTAGGGGGCGGGGAATCTAATTTTACCCTTCTAATTACTGGTACCCAGAATAGATTTCCCAGGGCCACCTGATAACTTTGTTTCACCAAAACGCAACTTCAGCCGGGAGCAGTGGTGCACACCTGTAATCCCAGCAGTTCGGGAAGCTGAGGCAAGAGGATCACAAGTTCAAAGCCAGCCTCAGCACAAGTTAGGCACTAAGCAACTCAGCGCTGTCTCTGAATAAAATACAAAATAGGGCTGGAAGTCAAGTGCCCCTGAGTTCAATCCCCAGTACCCAAAATAAATAAAATACAGCAACTTCACCCTAAAAATAAACACCTATGGTAGGACTAACCTTAGAGACCTGAAGCTACAAAAAATTTTAAAGAATTAATATACATAAAATCAAAATCAGAAGCTGTTCCCATGAAAACAAATCATATACACAGATATACGCAAACATCTATGTATATATGTAACATACACACACATTCATACTCAATGTTCATTTTTTTTCCCAGTTGTGATTTGCATCAATAATCCATCTACTCTGCTCAGCTCCTTTGCTGATCCAATACTGATGCTGACAAGACAGATAACTGGCAAGCTGGTGGTGATGGTCATTGTTAGTTATATAACATATAAAACAAAATTCTGACCCATCCTTTTTTAACAAAATGCCTTTATTTTTATGTGGTGCTGAGAATCGAACCTGGGTCCCACACGTGCTAGGTGAGCACTCTACGGCTGAGCCACAATCCCAGCCCATGACCCATTCTTATTAATGGAAGAATAAGCTCTTGGACAATGTGAGAACTATGTCATGATGGGTTTGACAGCCTCATACTAGAATCTAAATAGCTTTACCCTTCACAAAAATATACAATGTTATTTCCACCTTGCAACAAATGTGCTCTCAATACTACTAAGATGACATTGGTAAAATTAATATATTAAAAAACCATAAGTCTGATTTTTTTCAAAACATTTATAAGAAAGTAGTTGCTGAGTAGTGTCTGTCCTGTATCCATTAAAAGGAAAACTTACGGTCATTTCTGTTAAGGTTCCAGATTGACCTTCCTCTCAAGGGGAGTGGTGGAGAAGCACCAAATGCTGAGCAGTAATAGACATTCCCAAACACTACTCTCCAGGTCCTCAAGATATAATAAGACTTAACTGTTTACCATTCCTTTATTTTTGCAAGTACTATTTTCAAATTTGACAAGTTTGAAAATGAAGAAATGTGATATTTTACAATAACATGCAAATTTTTTAAAAACGCACAAATACATCTATTAATTCTTTAATTCTATATTAAATTTTCCTTCTGTTCTATATAAAATAAGTAAAGCAATTCATATAGAGAATGCTTTAACGTTCATAGGGCTGGATTAAATTTCTTGAGGATTCTAAAGTTCCCCCCCCCCATAGAATATGTCTAATAATTGAGTTGTTTAAAAATAGACCTTGCTATAAAATGCAAATCTACTCAGATGACTTCCCTCTTTGAAACCCTCAGTATCTCCTTATCAACTACTTAGTTAGGATTCATGTAGGCCTAATTCCTCTTTCTTTCTTTTTTTCTGGGGGTGGGGTGGGGTACTGGAGATTGAACCCAGGGGTGCTTAACCACTGAGCCACATCCCAGCCCTCTGTATATTTTTATTTTGACACAGGATCTTGCCAAGTTTCTTAGAACCTTGCTAAGTAGCTGAGGCTGGCCTTGAACTTGTGATCCTCTGCCTCAGCCTCCTGAGTTGCTGGGATTACAGGCGTATGACACCACAGCCCCCACCCTAACTCCCTTTTCTAACCTCATCTTCCAGCACCCTGGCCCAAAGACACTGAGCCTTAATCCTCCCAACTTCACAGGTCTCAGAACTTGACAGGTGCTTTTACATCTATGTGTCTTCTTATGTGATGGATGGGCCCCTGTCTGAAAGGGATTTTCCCATCCCAAATTTTTGGAAGATTTATGGACTGCTACCCATCACCCACTCTGAAATCTCTCAGTTTCAGAGTATCCCCAAAATATATACCTTCACAGACAGGTCACAAAGACTTACAAGTAAAAACAGTGCCATTTTGAAAAAATATCTATTTACCTCAGAGTCTCCCAACCAGTCCACAAATTCCTAAAAGTAGGAATTTTATCTTTTCATATATCTGTCTTTAGCAACAAGTACATCATTTGGCACACAGTGAGCATTCAAGACATTTTATTATGCAAAAGAGGAAGAAGCAAGGAGGGGGGAGAAAGAAATCAAAAACCTACGGATTCCAATGTTCTTTTGAAATCCTATAAAGACTGGAAAACATGATGGGAAGGATGACATTAGAGTTTTCTTCTATCAAACTCATGATGTATTCATTATTCCAATAATAGAGTGCCCTTTCTGCCACCTTTGGGAAAAGAAAAAGATAACGATATAATAAGTTATAATCTTTCCAAACAAAAATATTTTAAAATCATTCAATCAAAAGTAAAAATTAAATGTTAATCACATTTTACATTTTTGTGGATTTAAAATCTCTAAAAGTTGTAAAGTAGTTCATCAATTAAGAGAAAGCAAAAAATACTGTTTTTCCTGTTATTTATATTCTCCTTTAATTTTACCCATCTCATCTGACTCCACATTTTCCCCTACACAGCTCTCACATTCCAAATATCTTTACACTACCTTTGCATACTGCACTATTTTCCCATCACTTGACCCCATCTTAGAGATCCCCTTTCCCGGCTCACCTCTCTCGTCCCACATACTTCAGAGCAACCACATGGCCTAGCATATGGTTGGTATTCAGCAACAGATGCACAGGAAAATCCACAGGTGCCCATCCCTGTAGAGCCACCATGTTCACTAAGCACCTCCTGTGGCCAGACAATGAGCCTGCACTGCAGGTACAATGTACTATCCTCACCAACATCCAAGAAGTAGGTTTCAAGAGGTTTACAGAGATCAGGTAATCTATCCAAAATCATACTGCTAGTAAATGCTTAAAGCTGTGGATGCTTAATGCTTAAAGATGGCTGCTTAGTTTCTGGACTCAGAGGCACTGGCTGCACCAACATTAGCTTGCTTTCTTAGATTTCTATTCTCTGCCCACCACATTACCAATTTATTTTTATTTGGTCTGTTGGGCCTGAGTTGCTCATCTTAGATTTTATGAATTCATACAGATTAAGAAATTATGTCTTACAAGAGACAAAAATGGTACAAGATGACCCTACCAATAGACTGAAAAATCAGAACCTTTCCATTTGGATTATTTCACTTGGTCCAAGAAAATTGCTAGGATTCACTAGGTGCTAAACCCTAAGAATACAGAGAAAGCAATCATTATTGAATGTTTACTATATGCCAGTTACTGCGTTAAGTGTTCCACTCCTTTTAAACTTTACAACCAACAGAGTTGGTACCATTATTTCTATTTTGCAGATGAGGAAACTAAGACTTGGAGAAGATAAGCCATTAGCTCAGGGGCATATGGCTAGCAAGTAACAGGATCCGAAGTCTCTGCTCTTAACTTTCTTACTTTGTTATCCCTAAGGTGTTGATAGCCTGGTAGGGGAAGGAGGCATCTATGATCCTATCCAATATAAACTGTGACAGAGGCTATATCAGATACCATTTTTAAAACTACCAGAAGAGCGAGCAGAATAAACAGTCTGCAGTAAATGAATTATCTATCTATATATACCAAACAAAGGCCATGTGAGGACAGAGTAAGGAGGCAATGTGCATGCCAGAAAGCAGGACTTCACCAGAAACCAACCATGCTAGCACTCTGATTTCAGCTTTCCAGCCTCCAGAACTATGAGAAAATGAATCTGTGTTTAAGCCACTTAATCGGTGCTATTTTGTTATGGCAGCATGTGCTACCTAGACATTATCTCTTCTTTCTAAGCTTCTGAGCATCATTTAAACCTCCCCAGTGATACCCATTTAAAAGAAAACCTGGCTCCTTGACCTCTTTTACACCGAACATCCTGATGAAAAGGAAAAAACAAGGTGAATAATCCAGATGTTTGAGCATTACAGGTGCAATATGCAAATCATCTATATACTGTTCTGCAGTTTTCTATTTTTATCCAGATATGTATTATGTCACCTCAATAGTTCATGTAATGGTCTCTACTTGTTTTCTTCCACTTTCTTTGTAGCACAAACATTAGATTCTTATAAGATTGCTGCTTTGACAAAATGATGCATCTCTACGTCAAAAATTAAAACAACAGGGCTGGAGTTGTGGCTCAGTGGCAGAGCACTTGCCTAGCATGTGTGAGGCACTGAGTTTGATTCTTAGTACCACATAAAAATAAGTAAATAAAATAAAAGCATTGTGTTCATCTACAGCTAAAAAAAAAAAAAAAAATTAAAACAGTAAGAGCCAATCTCTCTGCCTCTGCTGGATAATGACAACTAAAGGGAAAGTTCCCATCAAATGACTCCATTTGAAAGGTGCTTTTGTGCTGCAAACCACAATCTGAACAATGTCTTCAAAGTGACAAGCAGTCAATCCTCTAGGTTTGTGAGATGGATCTTCAATGAGACAGCCAGGGGATTAAAAAAAAAACATGTTTTCAACCCTGATTCCTATTTCTTTTCTCCTATGTGGGTTCCATAGCACTGCAGCAAGGGCTCCACCATTGAAAACAGATGTCAAGGTCGGCCTCCCCCGTGTTCTCCCTGAGTGGCCACAAGGAGGCAGAGCAGGCCATGTGAAGGTCATGGGCTTCAGCAAGAAGCTACAGTTAAGATCAAAATTTAACTCCATGCCCTATTAATTTGGAACTTCGTGCAAAGCATTCTCTGAGCCTCATCCAAAAAATGGAAAAGAGCCTCAGAGGATAATGTAAAGTTCATTAATAATGTACATAAAGCATTTAGCACAGTACAGAAAGAATGTTAGGGTCATTTTTTTTCTCCTAAGTACTATTTAGTCTTCTAATAATAATTAATAATATTAACTATTAATAATAATTATTATTAATTATTTTTAATAATTAATATTATTAAAAATAATTAATAATAACCCAACCAGCCCACTTCGTACTCAGTAATTTCCCTGAGATAAGTTATTCCTATCTGTAAATCTGTTTAAAAAAACAAACAAACGAACGAACAAAAAACAGAATGCCTTCCTTGCAGGGTATTTAGGAATTCAAGAAGGCACCATTACAGTAGCCATTAGGCAACAGGTGCTCAAGATAGGGTGGCTGTTAAGAACTGTTATGTGAGGAAATTCAAATAAAAAGCAGCAAATAAAACAACAAAAAAATAATTTTTTTTTTTAAAGCAGCTGTCATTCATTACATCTCCTTCAAGACAAGTGAAATCAAACCAAAACAATTCATGTTCTACAGGACACTCTGGCTCATGTCCTCTTTACTACCAACCTGAAAATGGGGACTAGATACACACTTGGCAATTTGTTTAAACAAAGGTTCTTGAATTTTAACAAATTGTGAAGGTTCAATCACATCCAAAATTTCTTCCAGCTCCCCAAGGAACATGACCTATAAGTAGAAGCAAAACATAAATGAGAGGCACTTATTTTAAAACATCAACATGATTGTTGATGATTAATGATAGTTCACCCCACTTTAAGAAAAACATACACATAAAACCAAACAAACATGCATTATCCCATTTTACAAAGAATTCATACCATAGAATATACGTCAAAAGTTCCCTACAACACTGAAAACAGAATCCAACCTAGTTTGAAAAAAGCAGTCTACTCCTACACATGCCAGGGAATAAGGAGCACTCACATACTACACCTGGCCTCTGGGAAACAGGACTCTCCCAGCAGGCTTTCCTCTCTACTGCTAGCAACCTAGCTATCTCCACCTCTCTTACCCCACCTCTTTTCAAACAATGGGAGGGGGGCCTATAGTACGGACAAGTAGAAATACACAGTGGTGCAGGCAGTCATCTGCCAAGCGAATGTGGTCTCTGCTACTGCAGTAAGTACTCCTATAGGATACACCAATTAACAGAATAGAAAAAAGTCATATGAACAACACAAATGAGCTAACTCACCCACATGAAGGTATCACATAAACTTGTCAACAAACACTGACCCCATTCTATGTACTTGCACACATACACATAAGCTCTCTAGAGAGCACAGTGAATCTCATGGCTTCAGCACTATGTGCCTAGAGACCAGCACTATTAGGTTATAAGATGGAACAGGAATAATAGTTGATTTGGTCAATTATATTAAATATAATGAAAAAAATGATAGAAATAAAAAACAGTTGTCACCTATTTAACCACAGAAAATAACTGGAGAAAAAAGTACGCAATTAAAACATGAGATAAGAAACTGTTGGCATATCTTGCAATGCTCTAGGTAGCAATGCACAGTTTAATTTTACCTAACAGATATCAAGAAATTAGATGACTTTTTGAAATTGCATAAAGCAGGGCTTGAACCCCTGCCATTTGTCAAGACACACATAAAAGTTTACCTAAAATTCTCACAAAATATAAAACTAACAGCTGAACTTGGTTTCTAGACCAGGTTCCACGTAGTTTTAACCTTTCAGCAGAATGACTAAAGATCTGGGGCAGATTCAGTTAGGCTCACCTCTAAGCTGCATACTTGAGGATTCACTTCCCAAAACCTCACACTGTGTGTGTTCCTGCTTAGGTCTCAGCAAAGATGCAAATGACTGTAGGTCAGAACCTTCTAGAGCTACTTGTGAATGAAACTAAAGGCTAAAGATTATACATATTAAGATCCCATCCATACTGTGTTTTAAGAAGCATGTGAGAAGTTTGCTATAGCATCTATAGTGACAGCAAAATTTACATACTACGAAGGGAATGACTAGGAAGGGAACAACAGAATTGACAACTGAACATATAAACGGGACCTCATCTGGGGTTACCTGAGACCGAGCAACACAATGGACAAAAGCCTCATGATCAGGAGTTAGGGAGGTGGTTTCTGATCAACTTACCTGTTCTTAGTGTGCTTGAGTGGGCTACTTCCTTCCCCTCTAAGCTTCAATTTCATTATTAATGAAAGGAGACGGACAGTCCTGCCTCATAGAGCTACAAATGAGCTTTGGATGATGTATATTTACATATTTAGCTCAATGCCTGGCACTTGGCAAAGCACTTAGTAAGCTATTGTTACTCCTTGACACTAAGCACTTACCTCTTTTTGACTGCATGTTTTAGGCCAAAATTTCATTAATCCCCTAATAACCTAATAAGAAAGGAGAAAAAAAACATGTGGCATTTAATTTTTCCTACTACTTTCAGGAAAAGTTATTTTTCTTAAAGTTAAGTTCTGAATTGAGAGGAAAAAACCATTACTTACTGGTTCTGTGAGTGAAGGATCTTTCTCCAGAAACTGGACTATACAATATGCCAACTGAAGAAACAAAATATGAAAGACAAAATTGTGAACTCTTTATACTAATGGCTCAAAATATAGAGTATTAAAACTTCCTAAAATGTCTCCAGACTCTGGTCTTAACTGCACTATGAACTCATTTTAACTATCATAAAAATAAAATATATCAAGCAAAATATAAAGCTCTTTTTCAAAAAAAGACAAGGTCTGGCTACGCTGTGTTGCCCAGGTTGGTCTTGAATTTCTGGGTTCAAGTGATCCTCCTTCCTCAGCCTTCTGAGTAGGGACTACAGGAGCACGACATAATACCCAGCTAAAAGCTACTTTTTCTAGCCAAAGACAAACACTAAAAAGGTTCCAAGAGAATTTTTTTTTTAAAGAGTATTGAGACATGAAACATCTGCAGCTAATGAAAAGCAGAAGTGAAACATTACATTCAGTATATTCTGAAAATATCATATTTACATACTATTAGGGCTTATCTCATGGGCTTTCTTTCTCTTTCTGCTAACATCAATAGTACTAGGTTTTACTGTGCTTTTCAGAAGAATCCTACAGGGGAGGTAGGCACTTTCTCAAGACCCAGCTGGTTGCCTGCAATGGCAAGCACAAACTAACAATTTCACAAAGAGATAAAAGGCTGTACCTGTCACAGTTAAGAACCTAGAGAAATGCAGAGTCCCAATCTGATACTAATATATCTAAGAAAAAATTCTTTTAAATGATCACAAAATGTGTTAGCCCATTACAAAAATAAATGGCAATATGTGTGAAGGGCTTGTCAAGATTCTTAAGCAAGAAATCCACCCTCACAAACACCAACATTTTGATAGTATTCTAAATTAGAAATATAATGGATTAGTTTTTCCTCAAATCACATTTTCACATTTAAAGAGAAACATTATGAACAAAATTGCTACATTTTTATGCAAACTAATAGCATTTCCACTGGAAGGAGAAGGGAATCAGAGGTTTGAAATACTAAAATTAAAAATACCCCTAGATCATCTGCCTTCTAGTGACATGCTTACCATGCAAGGTAGTGTTCACACAGAAACTAGAATGGGGACAAGATGGGATATGCTTTCTAAAGTAATGAAGGTTTAAAAAAAAAAAAAAAGTAAAAATTTTGAAAACTTGTTTACTTGTGAAAATGTTCATTTCTGTGTGCAAAGTGAAAAAAAGAAATGGTGAATGAAGTAGAAGAGGGGACAAAAGGGCAACTAATGAACCAATGCAAAGTAAGGTAGAACAAAATATTCAAGAACATTAAAAAAATTATTACACAATGTCCAAAGATCTGAATCTGAAGAGCCCACATACATTCTATTGTAGGCAATATGTTCAATATCTGTGTGAACTTGGGAAAATCATCAAAAAAAAAAAAACAAGACTGAACACCAGCTGCTCCCACCTTATAAATATTCCCACAGTTCTTCTGTAAACAGAAAAAATCATTTATACATTCTAATTATCATCAGGGAGTATTTTTAAACTTTAATGAGACTTGTTTTTTTTTTAATAAAGGTAATATCAATATCAAAACCACTGAGTTTGCAAACTTTTTATCTTGCTTCAAAAGTAATTGCACTTTAAAATTCTACCTGGGCGTGGAAGAGTGATAAGCTCCTGACAGTGTGTAAAGGGATCAACACTTTCACCAGAAACTGTTTGTGTTCTGCCTTAAGAGGTAAAGCAAAGCCATTGATAATACTAGGAAAAAGAAAAGAGACACAAATTAGCAATGTTACCACAACACTTAAGACCAAAAGAAAGTGTTCTGTGAGCCTGGTTAAGTATTAATCAGTTGTTTGTCCAGAACCATAACCAAAACCAACCCGAGTGGCATTCAAGACTTTTTAGTTACTTCAAAGAGTTCATTTAAGTAGGAAGGAAGTTTAAGAGAAGTGAATTTGCTTATGATCGCCCAACAAAGGCTCCAGTGCTCTTAAAACTAGTCCAATGGTTTCCAAAAGATTTTTATAAAAAGCCCTAACTTTTTCCTTCCTCCTTCTTTATCTTCCCCATATGATGGCTGCTTTGCTAACTTCCTCCTTTAATATATCTCTTTCCTTTTCCAGATATTATTCCTTCTCATTCCTGAAATCTCTGGCCAACCTTGGGAGGTCAATGGGAGAAAATTGGGTGAGTTTCACTTTCTTTTTCTCCTCGTATCAAGAGGAAAAACTAAGTTATCCCATTGTCCGGCAACATTAGGCTGTGTCTTTTCAATTTGTTCCACTATGCCAGGCAGCAGCTGTTCCAGAACTACACCTGGGTACATAGTTCCACTGAAAATGGCCAATTTTCCCAATCTATTATAAACTTGCTTTCAACAGATATGGCAAAGGAGGGGTAGCCTAGAAACTATGCTTATAGAATAGAATGTGTTGGTGTGACTGGCCTGACTACAATTAGATATATTATCTCTATAGTAATAAATGAACTTTTGGCTTTTTCAGTCATTCCAGAGGAATGAGCAATGCATAATTATGGAACAAGAGGAAGAGGAAATAGTGTCTTGTGGAGTCAGTTGGGAAACATGCTAGGCACAAATGAGAGAGACCCAGGGTATATACAGTAAGAGACCTAGGTCAGCATTTCTCTGTGCCACCTGAACCCAATCTTCAGAATAATATTCACCTGAGATAAGTAATTACATAGAAAGAGCTTACCTTCCTAATATTTCCAGAAGTTCAGCTACACCATTGAAGTGTTCTGTTTCATAAACAAACCTTAAAACAGAAGAGAGAGGAGAGGGCAGGAAAGGAAGGAGGAAGGGAAGGAAGTGAGTTGGAATAGTCAGTATACTATGTTCAAATATTGGAGGCTTATTTAGTATTTCTATAAAAACATCAACTTTGCATCTCCCGATCCCCCACACTCCACTTACCTTAGAAAAATATTGTTAATCTGTTTTCGGATAAATGCTCTAAGACCAAGAAACTTGCCATAAATTCTGTGTAGAACTGTTTTTAAGTAGTCTCGTTCCCGAGGGTCTTCACTGTCAAATAGCTCCAAAAGCTGTGGGAAATGAAAGACAGTACAGCTGTCAAAAGCTGCTTCAGGAAAGAATTTAGGCATACGATCATTCATTATTTAAAATCCCTCCCTTCATTTCTTCCTTCCTCAACAAAAGTATTTACTATCTATTATTCGCCAAGCACTGTGTTAATCCAGGAATATAGTGATAAACAAGTCAGACAAAGGGCTTCTATTGCAGTGAACAGAAATACAATAATAACAACAACATTAATAATAATAGCCAACACACATAGCATTTACTATAATATAATAATCAGGCACTTTTCTAAGCAATCTACACATCTGAATTCTCCCAATGAAGTAGTTTTTATATGTCAGTCTTACAGACAAGAAAACTGAGGTATAGAAAGGTTAAGTAACTTCCCCATGGTATCAGAGATAATAAGTAGTAGAGTTAGGATCAGAACCCACCTCAAGGCCTGAAGTCCATAACCTTAAACAGTGTTTATGCTACCTACTAATCTTATGTTCCAAATATACGGTTAGGATAAACTTTCAGCTCTACCAGAACATAAGGTAAAATATCGAAAGTCCCCAGTGAGGGCTGGGGATATAGCTCAGTTGGTAGAATGCTTGCTTTGCAGGCACAAGGCTTTGGGTTCTAATATTTCATTGTGTATAATACCACATTTTCTTTATCCATTCATCTGTTGAAGGGCCCAGTTATTCTTTTAGGAAGAATGCCATTTGGTAAACTGTCTAAAATGCTCTTCAGTTTTTCATATTAAATTTGAGACTGAACTAGACAGTTCAATCCCACAAAGAAAGGGGAAAAAAAGGCCCCAGTGATACTTGTATAATATTCTTTTTAGATCTGGGTTCTTGTTACATGAGCATGGCTCATTATAAAACCGGTTCATAACCCACTTGAATCAAATGTATGAAATATGATATGTCAAGAACTATGTAATGTTTTGAACAACTAATAATAAAAATTTTTAAAAAGAAAAAAAACAAGTCATCAGAATGAATATTTATTTTTAGTATATATGTTATAAGTGAATAACATATTTATGTTCTCAATCCTTTATAATCTTAAGTTAATAATAGAATCCTGATAATATCACATCCACATACTCATAATGAGATCCATGCCTTCAAGACATAGCCCAAAAGAGAAAATGAGCTAAGGCTCAGGTCAAATGACAGTGTACACTACAGATTCAACTCATTCCCTGTCAAATGCTTTGACTTTACAGAAATTGACTAGTTGATCCTGTAATTTATGTGAAAATACCCAGGAGAACCAAAACAATCTATGAGGGAAACTTTTCAATTTCAAAACTTAGTGTAAAGCTTCCAGTAACTGACAGAGTGTGATACTGTCAGGACAGACAGGCAGATCACAGAATAGAACTGAGGATCCCAAAATAATCCCTCAAATTTACAGTCAAACAATTTTCAGTGAGGATGCCAAGATAACTCAATGCAGAAAGAATAGTCTTTTCAACCAGTAGTGCTGATAACAATTGGATTTCCACACACAAAAGAATAAACCTAGATCCCTACCCCACACCATATAGTCAACTCAAAATGGATAATTAAACCTAAAGATGTGAGTTCAATGCAAAAAAGGAAAAAGGACAGTTTTTGAATAGACAAATCACAAAGAATGTATACAAATGGCTAAAAGACACATGAAACAGTTATATATTTCACTAATCACTACAGAAATGCAAAAGAAGAAGATACAACTTATTTGACAGCTCTAATTAAAAAGGGTGGGTGATAAAGAGTCTTGGCAAACAAAGAAACAATATGTAAGGGATCCAATTTGTTCATAAGAATGTAAAATGGTAATAGGCATTTTGGAAAACAGTGTGACAGTTCCTCAAAATTTCTAGTTGCTATATGATGAAACAACATCACTCCTAGGTGTACAATCAAAAGAACTGAAATCAGATATATTCATACAAAAACTTTTGTTCATAGTAGCAATATTGAAACAGTCAAAAGATGAAACAACCCAAATGTCCATCAACTGATAAAGAGACAGATAATATGTGATACAATGGAATACTATTCAGTCATAAAAGGAAAAGAAGTAGTGTGTATCATGGATGAACCTTCCAAACATCATGCTTAGGAAAAGGAGCCAACACAAAAGCCATATCATGTATGATTCCATTTATATGAAATACCCAGAATAGGCAAATCTGTAGACAAAGAAGTACAATGGGAAGTGACTACTAATGGGTACAGGTTTGTTTGGGGGATATCTACAATTATATGGTGGTAATAGCTGCACAACTCTGTAAATATACTAAAAACCAATGAACTGTAAACTGTAAAATGGTGACTTTATGTCATGTAAACTATAACTCAATAACCTGTTTCTTTTTAAAATGACAGTGGGCAAGTCCCTCTGGCTAAAGAACAAACTTAGAAACTGATCTGAGTTTTTAAATACATTCATTACCATTGCTTTAAAAGAAAAGTAATATCTTTTATAGCAAAACATTTCAAGAACATATAGGCAGCACACAAATGAAAGCAGACTAACATCTGTATCAAAAACTATCAAGACATGCATAAGCACAATTCAAGTGGTTAAAATATGAGGCTGAGATTGACAGCAAAAGCATAACAAGTGGGTGGTAATAAAATGAATGTGCTTCAGTATGCTGCTTTTCTTCAAATGAAAAAACTGTAAAAATGATCCTTCAAATATGGCAGGAAGCACAAACTGAAGGGCAGTCTTCCCCAAAATGGGAAGTAAAATGGGACATCATTTTTGGTTCTACAGTGCCATCCATTTGTTTAAAATAAAATGAGTATTTCAGGTAAATATGTATTGGCAGCCAATGGCCAAGGAGCCAGGGATACAATAATGGTTTAGATTAGATACAATCTGCTTTTGCAGAGCCTAATCTAATGAGGGACACAGGTGAATAAATAGCACAAATAGTTCGGTAAGCTGTATGATTGCATAAGAGACCTAACTACTCTATTTGGAAGAAGTGCAGTGACAGGGAAGGCTTCTAGAGGAAATGATATCCAGACTGACCCAAGAGTGGAGTAGGGCAAGAGTGTTTGTATTTATCAATTCTTCATCACTATAATAAAATACTCAACACAGGATACTAAGAGGAAAAGATTTATTTAGCTCACAGTTTTAGAGGCTAAAAGGCCAAACAGCATATAGCACAAGACTCTATGACCAGGGCCACCCCTTGATGGCATCACCTCATGGTGTAGGTATCAATTATGTGGGAGCAAGTATATGATTAAATCTCTAACCAGAGAAGAGGGAGAGACTGGTGTCCCATAATCCCTTCCAAAAGCACATCTCAAATGACTTACAGACATTCTACTAGGCTATACCCAGGGAACCAAGCCTTGAGGGGCACACAAAACTATAGCAATGTTCATGAAAGATTCAATAGTACACACCCTCACCAGCAACCTATCTGAATAAAAGATGCTGTTAATAACACCTGTCATCTTTCTGACCCCTTAGTAGTGTTCTTTCCACATGCCAGGGATGGTTCTTGTTGCTGGGCACACACAAAGTGTTGAACGAACTTGGAGCTCACTATAAGAGGCAATGAGCAAGTTAAAACATTTCATGTACAAAAGAGAGGCCTAGAATCCCACAGCCTCCCCACCCAACCCTTACTCAAAAAAAAAAAAAAAAAAAAAAAAAAACCCAGAAGACCCAGATGGACTCAGTATATCTTTATCTATGAACTTGCTCAAATTGACAAAAGGTATCTGACCCACCCCGTTTCATTCCTTATTAATAGAAATGATTAACTTTTCAAGTCCTATTTTTTCATTTGGTTTCTGTTTTTAAGTGTTGCAAGAGGGCTTAATGACTAATTTGTAGCCAACATAAGAGAAGGTTTGAGGGGGTGTAATCTTAGTAAAACTTGAATCAACTATGCTTATGAAGTTAATCTTAAGAGTTTAATAAACATATCATTAAATAAAAATTATTTAACTAAAGTTTTCATTAAGTTCTTGTAATGGTTAGGACTTTAACCTCATCACTGAATTAGTCCATTATGGATTCAGAGCTGAATGGACAACTGAGAGAGGATGGAAACAGGAGGAGGTGGAACCTAGTTCAAGGGAGCTAGTTCTGGGGGTATGTCCTAATGGTCCCTGGTTGCTGGCTTGTGCTCTCACTCAAGCTCTTAAGCATTCTCATGCTCTCTCACCTTCCCAGCAGACATGAAGGGAGCAGCTCTGCTCTGCTACATGCTCCCCATCATAATGTTGTGCCACAAAATAGGTCCACAGTGACAAAAAAGCTAAGACAGTTCTCAAAGTATCACCAGGTCTCAAATTAGTCATTTACAAGGCACAAATATTAATTGTATCCTGTTCTATGAGAAAGGAAGATGAACTACAATATTAAACTACTTTTCTCGTGCTCTATAGAACATAATTTTGATGATTTTATGATGTATAAGACAAAAGAGAAAGTATAATAAGCACAGATACAAAAGTGGATTTCTGTAATAAAACACAAATGTAACAGAAAAACCAATAGGAAATATTAACTTTACATTTATAAATGCCTAGGTGAACTGTGCCATCCACAATATAACAGGCAATTTGTTGTCAAAAGAAAAACAAGAGTTCCAAGGTGATTAAAGAGCAAAGACAGAGCTGTCAACATGCTGACTTCAAAATTAAAAAGAAAAAAAGCACCTTTCCTGAAGCTAACAAGGATGAAATGCATAGTGTTTTAGACAAAGAATCCTTATTTGAATGTCATAATAAACCTATAGTGAAATGAGGAGGACCGTGCCTTCCAGTTAGACATGGGGAACTGAAACTTTCCTCATAAAACCTCCCTGAAATGACACTGAAAGAAAAACAATGGAATAAACCCAAAGAGCAGAGAAGACCAGAGGACAGCAGATCAGACATGCTTGCAGATTTTTCACAGATTGGAAGTCGATGACAAGAGGTAACCATCTTAGGATTTCTGTCACACCATTCTGCTAAGTGTTTTTCCATTTTGTAGG